TGTCTTTGCTGCTGTCTGCCTAAGCGCATACAGAACCCCATGCAGGACACAGACCTTATTATTGCTGCTCACTTCTGCTGCGATGTGTTTAGAACCTGACAATACATTTGCTGCATGTACGGTTGATATGCCAATGTTGCACCTTTCGTGTTCTTTACAGCGAATGTGCTCCACACCACCGACACACTCAACCCAACGCAGCCGAATTCAACGTCACAGGAAAAGTCAATGGAAAGAACAGTCGGTTTGACAAATCAGATCGGTGTCACCGTACGCGTCAGCAGAATATATTGATAATGTTGATGATTTTATTTACTTCTTGAATGTAGTGTGTAGCACATCGTTGCTTCCTCATGCCTACACCACGTCTGTACGGTTGTCTTCTTCACATGTGTCCATATTTCATCACGCTTTCATGGCCTTTTCTGAGTGCTTTTTTCGTTTTGTAACTGTGTTTAATATGATTATCCTTTCAATATTCTCAACATTCTGCATATGTAGTAAATCTCAAGCAGCAGTTTGTAATCGAGATGTGAGCAGAATCATGCTCGAAACGATTTCAGAACTGGCCGAGCTAAACTAATAACTTCATATTGCAGGCATGTTGCTTTTCTGTGTTTGCACCGTACATGTGATCTATTGATTCGTGATGCTGGTGTTTTTGTTTGTCGGGGCGATTCTCCACTATCAGCGGCGCGCCCCTTCACCGTCGTCCCCGCTCAACGGCTCCACTTGCCGTCTGCTGTCAACAGGGCGTGTCATGACATAGATAGATGCTCAGCCGTCTGGGCTACTGTGTCACCGTCGTGTCAACCCAGCAGCAGACAGATAGCTCTACGCAGCTGTGCCCCACGACTGGCATGCTCTAGCACGAAGAAGAACCTGCACCACGTCTTCGGCTTGCGTGGTATCCAGGCGACCCTCACATCCTCGCCCACCCTACCCACCACCCCATCTCTCGGTTCTTCCACATCTCCACCTCCAACTTTCCCATTTTCCCCCCCCCACCATTCACTTTCTCAACGTTTGAGGGTGTATGTGAGGAGGCATGGATGAGCCTTTTACATACTGTAGGATGTAATGCGATGATTGTTTGTTGTTGTATGTTGTTGTTGTTGTTTGTTGTATTTCGTGGTCATATGCGCAACTATCGTTACTCAGTTGCTGTAATCGTTAACATTGATGTGAGTCGTTAAGCATTCAGAGTGTTTTAAGTAGAGATTGTGTCACTAATACGCGGCGCTCAGTGACTCGTTTGAAGTCACGTGGGGGTAGTGTGTTGCAGTGGATCGTACACCTAGAGAGCGAATTGCTAGACATTTGTTATTACCGTCGATGCATTAGACGTTTGGATGATTGACGCTCGACGATGTCTAACATGTGTGCATTTTCATGGTGGCTTTTGCACGATGAATGCGTGTGGTAAATCTATCCCAGAGAGTGAATTACACACTTATTAATACATTGTCGATGCCATTCAGACGTATGACTGATGAAAGACGTACAACATGTGTGTTTTTTCTCGTCTGAATGCAGTGCACGCTGGGTCGATGTCGCGAGGCGATAACAAAGCTGCAGCCTTCCGGAGAATGATACAGTCTGATCCGCGATATACCCGGCCTAGATGAACGACAGGTTTACACTTGGCAAAACTAAAGTGCTGTGCATGTGTAGAGAGGATAAGGTGGAAGAGGAGACACGCGAGATAAGAGAGGTAGAGTGAGAAAGAGAGAGGGGGCGAGACGGAGCAGAACGCGCGAGAGAGCGAGAGAGAGGAGAGACAGATGAGAGAGGAGAGAAAGAGAGAGAGATGAGAGACAAGAGAACGAGACGAAGATCTGAGAGGAGAGTGAGAGAGATGAGCAGATAGAGAGGGAGAGGAAGGTGAGAGCAGAGAGAGAGAGAGAGAGGATGAGGAGGACGAGCGGAGAGAGAGAGAGGCCTCGAAGAGAGAGAGAGGAGACGGAGATGAGAGGTGCGGAGGGTGTGTGTTTACAGCACGGGTGAATGTTGTCTCCTTTCTTGCTTGGACATCGACGTTTGGCTATATCTGCCATCAACCTACATAGATTTGCCACCCATGCCATGTTCCAGTTTCTGATGCCTTGGTGAGCGTCTGTAAAATTTTGTAATATGGTGCTCTAAAAACGCCTCAATGGCAGTACTTCTGATTTTGACCCTACACCACTAAATGCTAGCACTTTCTTGCTCGCTCCCCAAATAACAATTGTAGCCTGTCTGCTGCTATGCGAAGTAGTATGAATCGGTAATGATAAGTGCAAGCGTAGGTAGTATGGTAATTCATAGGTGAACTGTGATTTTCGTCTTAGGGCGAGTGATGAGCTGGGCGTTGCTGAACATCCGCAGTGTGAGATGTACCCCGGCACTGATTCTAGCAGACACAGCCACGCTCACGCCTCACAGAGTACGTTCGCAGTACTAAGGCAGCAGACTCCAGGTCCTGATAGAGATGTGTTTAGAAGGATAAGAGCAATAATATAGCAACATGATGCTCTAGCAGTGGCACTGGTCAAATCTGTGTTGGCGGACGCCTGTATGAACATGCTAGTCCTATTTCTAAGTCCTATTGATACAGGATACTTTTGGCTTTATTCTCGGGTTGACCCTACTACGTACCAGGTTTTTACTATATATGTGTTTGAGTCGAGGACAAACTTTTGCTATTATTGTAATGTGTTATTCAATTCTCTCCAGGATTATTAGGTGTTAGTGTGTGTGTGTGGGGGTGGATACGGGTATGTTGCGATAGTTGAGACCGTTACTTAAAGGTGAGTCCTTTACTCTCATTGTTCTAGGTTCTATTTGCAGGTTGAATTTGTAGTCGTTAAAATTACGTACAAAAAAGTTTCATGGATTTCATCACCATTTAGATTTTTTTTTTTATGTGTTTAAGAACTACGACTAAGTTTGATTACAAATGACCGGCTGGCGCCACTCACAAGCGCATGATCTGAAGAAGTTGCCGCAACGAACTTCTCAGCAAGCGGTACAGTTGAGGTGTTCCCTTATTTATTAATTTAAAAGAAAAGCGTTGTATATCTTATAGAAGACATTAGTTTCAGTTGAACCCTATATTAATTATGGATAAATTTTGTCCTAAAATAGAACATCGTTCGCGTTAAATAGCATTTTCGGTATAAATATAATTGCCACTATTGTGGATTGAGCCTCGCGTCTGTAACGTGCAAAATATATGGGAAAATTGCGAACTTTTATCAGGGTGGCCAGCACAGTCGCGGGGCGTCGCCTTCGCGTCAATGGTGCCCGCTGCAGATTTCGTTAGCGTTGATGCTATAATTAATTAACCAATAAAAATTAGAGTGTCTCGGCTAACGAGGCTACTTTGGGATATAGACGATTTGATTATTACAGTAAGTACAGTTGTTATGCCAGTAAAATCTTAGAGTCTAGTTATCCGTTTAAGTGGGCCTTGGTTGTAGACCGGTCCTGAGTGCTGTAGTTTATTACTTTATGCTGATTGTTTGCAGTTGGTCGCAGGGCCTGCCCTACAGCTTCAGGTCAGAACGTTGACTTGGGCGCCAGGCCGTGTACGGCGAAACTTTGTAAACGTCACGTTCTTGCTGGTAGTACACTGAGCTGATCGACTTGATATCTTCTTGTCTTATTAGTTGCCCGTCGCATTGTTGCCCTTGCGTTGGGAAACTGAATGAACGTATTTATGTTTTCGTATGGTTATATATACTATGTCGGATTACTCAACATCCGTTAGTTGCTTATTGGTATTCTGCAACGTGACATCGCTGCATTGTTAATCATTATTTCTTCACTGATGTGACATTAACGCATCGTTAACTGTCATATCGTCTACAACGTGACATCGCTGCATTGTTAATCATTATTTCTTCACTGATGTGACATTAACGCATCGTTAACTGTCATATCGTGCTCAAGATGACATGCTGCTTGGTTATCTTATATTCTTCAATGGATGTGACATTACATCAATTACTGTCAATCGTCCACAACGTGACATCGCGCTGGCATTAGATCTCTCTCTCTCTCTCTCGCTCAATAATTCCCCCTTCCCTCCATCTCCCTTTTCTCACTTTCTATCTCCACACGCACACATGCCCCCGATATGTTCCATCATCTTTCTAGCACACACCGCAGTCTTATGCTCTATATAAATACTTGTATGAAACGCTACATAACTGGCCGCACACCTAAGCAGTCTCCGGTCGAATCTTCTCGCACGAATCCGTCGTCACACTGGCAGACGCCATTCCGCGCCCGACGATTCGTCACACAACTCTCGTGCGGCATGCATGCGTCAATACCGAACAAGCAAACAACTGGCTTCCACAATTCTGTGTGAGGCTGCGTGTCATCGTTCTTCGCCTGGACATCAGCTCCCATGCCAAGCTTATCTGCAATGGAAATGAAAACGCTGGGATACGTATACGCTGCTGACAACTGATTAACATGACTAGCTCTTGAGCGATTGTCAGATCACTTAGAAAGATTTTTTGTAGCGTCGTCTTTCAAGATAAACGTCTACTCTCTTCACATTCCCCCTATCCACCTACGTGTATAGATACTACGTATACATATATATATATATATATATATCTATATCAATCTACATGTACGTGTGTAGAATATTCACCAAATGTTCTACATGGCCTGTTCTGTTGCATCTTGCCATGCTGACTAAGCATGAAAATCTTACACGAGCTTACAGTAATCCTGTGCTCAACATCAGGAACCCTTTAACGTTAAACATATCAAACAGCCAACTTTTCAGAACTCTCCGACAGCACAGCCCATCATCCAGGAATTTCCAAGAAGGAAAAACGGCACTGTAACATTCCGTAACTCTCCCGGATCCGCATGAATCCCTGCGATTCCTCTCCCATCATGCATATAAACGTAGTGCATACATAGTTAGTGCGTACATACGTCGTGAAGAAATAATGATTAACAATGCAGTGATGTCATGTTGCAGATAAAATAGCAACTAACGGATGTTGAGTAATCCGGACATAGTATATATAACCAACGAAAACATAAAACCGTTCATCAGTTTCCCAACGTTCATAGGGCAACAATGTCGACGGCACTAATATAGAAGAAGAAGATATCAGTCGATCAACTTCAGTGACTTACCAGCAAGAACGGTGACGTTTACAAAGTTTTCGCCGTACACGCCTGGCGCCCGTACGCTGACCTTGAAGCTGTACAGCCCTGCGACCAACTGCAACAATCACATAAAGTAATAAACTACAGCACCCAGGACCGGTACAACCAAGGCCACTTAAACGGATACTAGACTCTAAGATTTTACTGCATACAACTGTACTTACTGTATAACAAATCGTCTATACCCACATGTACCTGTTACCAGACACCTAATTTTATTGTTAATTAATTATACATCAACGCTACGAAATTTGAACGGCACCATTGACACCCGCGACCGTGCTGCCACCCTGAAAAAGTTGCGCATTTCCCAATATATTTTGCACGTTACAGACCGAGGGCTAATCACAAAGGTGCAATTATATTTATACCGAAATGCTATTTAACCGAACGATGTTCATTTTAGGACAAATTTATCCATAATATAACTGAAACTATATGTCGTTTATAAGATATTACAATCCTTTTGCTTTTAAATTAATAAATAAGGAACACCCTCAATCTGTAGCCCTTGGCTGGAAAGTCGTTTTGCGCAACTTTTCAGATCATGCGCTTTGAGTGGCGCCACCGTCATTTGTAATCAAACTGTAGTCGTTAGTTTTAAAACATAAAAAAAAAATTCTAATGGTGATTGAACCATGAAACTTTTTTTGTAGCGTAATTTTAACCTAAATTAACTGAAAATAAACCTAGAACATAGAGTAAAGGATCCCTTTAAGTAACGTGTCTCAACATCGCAACATACCCCACCCCCACACACACACTAACCCTATATCTGCTGGAGAGAATGAATAACACATTACAATATAGCAAAGTTTGTCCTCGACCAACTACATATATAGTAAAACCGGTACGAGAGGGTCACCCGAGATAAAATTCCAAAAGTATCCTGTACAGATAGGGCTAGGAATAGGGCTAGCATGTTCTATACAGCTGTCCGCCAACACAGATTTGACCGTACACTGCTAGCACTCATGTTGCTATTATTATTGCTCTTCCTCTATCACTATCTCTATCAGGACATGGAGTCTGCTTGCTGTAGTACTGCGACCGTACCTCTGTGAGCGTGAGCGTGGCTGTGTGCTGCTAGGATCGTGCCGGGGTTCTCCACTGGCGGGTGTTCGAGCAACGCCCACTCATACTCGCCTAGAGAAATCACAGTCACCTTATGAATTACCATAGATACCACGCGTGCACTTATCATTACCAAGTCATTACTACTCGCAGTAGCAGCAGACGGGTACAATTGTTAGTTTTGGGGAGGCGAGGCAAGAAAGTGCTGCATTTAGTGGGTGTAGGGTCAAAATCAGAGTACTGCCTTTGAGGTTTTAGAGCACTATTACAAATTTTACACGCATGCACCAAGGCACAGAAACTGGAACATGGCATGGTGGCAATCTATGTAGGTGAGTGGCAGATATTAGCCAAACGTCGATGTACCACAGCAAGAAAGGAGGACCCATCACCCGTGCTGTAACACACACACTCGCGCACGCTCTCTCTCTCTCTCTCTCTCTCTCTCTCTCTCTCTCTCTCCTCTCTCTCTCTCTTCTCTCTCTCTCTCTCTCTCTCTCCTTCCTCCTCCTCTCTATCTTCTCTCCTCTCTTCTCTCCTCTCTCTCTCTCTCTCTCTCTCTCTTCTCTCTCTCCTCTCTCTCTCTCTCCTCTCTCTCTCGTTCTCTCTCCCTCCCCCTCTCTCTTTCTCACTCTACCTCTCTATCTCCGTGTCTCTCCCCCTTTCCTCTCTCACATGCACACACTTTAGTTTTGCCAGTGTACCTGTCGGTTCATTAGGCACGGTGTATGCGGACAGACTGACTTCATTCTCCGGAAGCTGCAGCTGCTTGTTATCTCCTGCCGACACGACCAGCGGGTGCACTGCACAGCGAGAAAAACGCACACATGTTACGTCTTCATCAGTCTAACGTCTGAATGCATCGACAATGTATAATAAGTGTGTATCATTCACTCTCTGGGGCATAGATTTACCACACCATTCATGTGCAAAAGCCACCATAAAATGCACACATGTAACATCGTCGAGCTGTAATCAGTCTAACGTCTGAATGCATCGACGGTGTATAACAAATGTCTAGCATTCGCTCTCTGAGGTGTAGATCCACTGCACCACTACCCCCACGAGGACTCAACGAGTCACTGAGCCGCGTAGTTAGTGACAAACTCTACTGAAACACTCTGAATGCTTAACGAGCTCATCAATGTTAACGATTACAGCAGACTGAGTGAACGATAGGTTGCAATGACCACGATAAACAACAACAACAACAACAACAACAACAACAACAACAACATCGTCATTACATTCTACAGTTGTTAAAAGCTCATCCATGCCTCCTCCACACCCTCAAACGTGAGAAAGTGAATGGTGGGGGGGGGATGGGAAGGTGGAGATGTGGAAGTGTGGAGACGAGAGATGTGGAGGGATGGGGTGGAGGGGAGGGGGAGGGATGGGTGAGGGGGTCGCCTGGATTACTCACCAACCGAAGACGTGGTGCTAGGTGTCTTCTTCGTGCTAGACACCGTCGTGGGGGGCACAGCTGTAGAGCTACTGTCTGCTGCTGCGGTTGACGACGACGGTGACACAGTAGCCACAGACGGCTGAGCAGTTGACAGGTCATGCTTGTTGACAGACGCGCCGTTAGCGGGAGACGGTGTAGGGGGCGCTGATAGTGAGAGAATGCGCCCGAAAACTAAATACACGCACGACAGAGACACAGTACGGTGCAAACAAAGAAAAGAACATGCTGCAAGTGATGAAGTTATTTTAGTTAGTCGCCAGTTCTGAAATCGTTTCGAGAATGATTCTGCTCACATCTCGATACAACTGCTTGAGATTACACACATGAGAAGGTTTTAGAATATAATGGAAATCATATTAACACAGTTACAAAACGCGAAAAGAGCAGAATGCCTCAGTGAGCTGAGGAAATATGGACACATGTGATGAAGACAACCGTTAAGACGTGGTGAGTCATGATGGAGCAAAGATATGCTACACACTTACATTCAAGAAGAAATAAAATCACAACATTATCAATATATTCTGCTGACCTGTACTGGTGACAATCGATTTGTCAACCGACTGTTTTCCATTGACTTTCTGTGACGTTGAGCTTTTGGCTGCATTGGGTGATGTTGACGGTGGTGTGGATGACATCGCTGTAACAAACCAAGTGCACACATATGCAAATCGTACACAGCAAAGTATTTCAGGTTCTACACGCGCAGATATGCAGAAAATCTGTTCTGTCTGGTTATGCGCTTAGGCAGACAGCAGCAAAACAAAAGCCATGCATACCCCCTCCCTCTCGCTTACTCTCTCTCTCTCTCTCTCTCTCTCTCTCTCTCTCTCTCTCTCTCTCTCTCTCTCTCTCTCCATTCCTCCTTTCTCTCTCTCCCTCTCCTCTCTTCTTTCTCTCTCTCTCTCTCTCTCTCTCTCTCTCTCTCTCTCTCTCTCTCTCTCTCTCTCTCTCTCTCTCTCTCTCTCTCTCTCTCTCTCTCTCTCTCTCTCTCTGCCTCTTCTCTCTCTCTCTCTCTTTCTCTCTCTCTCTCTTTCTCTCTCTCTCTTCTCTCTCTCTCTCTCTCTCTCTTACTCTCTCTCTCTCTCTCTCTCTCATCTTCTTTCACTGTCTCCCTCTCTCTCAATCAATCTCCCCTTCCCTCCCTCTCCCCCTCTCTCTTCTCTTCTCTCTCTCTCTCTCTCGCTCAATAATCTCCCCTTCCCTCCGTCTCCCTTTTCTCACGTTCTATCTCCACACGCACACATGCCCCAGATATGTTCCATCATCTTTTCTAGTCACAAGCCGCCAGTCTTCATGCTCTATATAAATACTTGTATGAAATGCTACATAACTGGCCGCACACCTAAGCCAGTCTCCGGTCGAATCTTCTCGCACGAATCCGTCCGTCACATGGCAGACGCCCATTCCGCGCCCGACGATTCGTCACAAACTCTCGTGCGGCATGCATGCGTCAATACCGAACAAGCAAACAACTAGCTTCCACAATTCTGCTGTCAGGCTGCGTGTCATCGTCACTCGTCTGACATCAGCTCCCATGCCAAGCTTATCTGTCACATCTGCATGGAATGAAAACACTGGGATACGTATACGCTGCTGACAACTGATCTAACAGTGACTAGCTCTTGAGCGATTGTCAGCATCACTTAAAAAGATTTTTTGTAGCGTCGTCTTTCAAGATAAACGTCTACTCTCTTCACATTCCCCCTATCCACCTACGTGTATAGATACTACGTATACATATATATATATATATATAATATATATATATCAATCTACATGTACGTGTGTAGAATATTCACAAATGTTCTACATGGCCTGTTCTGTTGCATCTTGCCATGCTGACTAAGCATGAAAATCTTACACGAGCTTACAGTATCACGTGTGCTCAACATCAGGAACCCTTTAACGTTAACATATCAACAGCCAACTTTTCAGAACTCTCGACAGCACAGCCATCATCCAGGAATTCCAAGAAGGGAAAAACCGGCACTGTAACATTCCGCTAACTCTCCCGGATCCGCATGAATCCCGCGATTCCTCTCCCATCATGCATATAAACGTAGTGCATACATAGTTAGTGCGTACATTACGTCGTGCGTACATACGTCGTGCGTATATATACGTCGTGCGTACATACGTGTGCGTACATACGTCGTGGTATATCGTGCGACATTACGTGTGGTACATATACGTAGGCGTTACATACGTCTAGTGCGTACATACGTCAGCGTTGCGTTACATACGTCGTGCGTACATACGTCGTGCCGTACATATAACGTATCAGGTGCGTACATACGTCTGCGTATATAACGTCGTGCGTAGTTATTACGTCGTGCGTACATTACGTCGTGTCTACATACGTCGTGCGTACATACGTCGTTGCGTATACGATTATTACGTCGTGCGTACATATACGTCGTGCGTATAATATACGTCGTTGCGCTTACATATACGTCGTGCGTACATATACGTTCGTGCGACATATACGTCGCTGCGTAAGTATACGTCGTGCGTACATATACGTCGTGCGTACATACTACGTCGTGCGTACATATACGTCGTGCGTACATATGACGTCGTGCGTCATACTATAACGTCGTGGCCGTACATACGTCGTGCGTACATATACGTCGTGCGTACATACGTCGTGCGTATATATACGTAGTGCGTACATACGTCGTGCGTACATACGTCGTGCGTATATACGTAGTGCGTATATATACGTAGTGCGTATATACGTAGTGCGTACATACGTAGTGCGTATATATACGTAGTGCGTACATATACGTAGTGCGTACACATACGTCGTGCGTACACATGCGTCGTGCGTATATATACGTCGTGCGTATATACATAGTGCGAATACATACGTAGTGCGTACATATACGTAGTGCGTACACATACGTCGTGCGTACACATACGTCGTGCGTACACATACGTCATGCGTACACATACGTCGTGCGTACACATACGTCGTGGCCTATACACATGCGTCGTGGAATATATACGTCGCTGCGTACACATACGATCGTGCGATACACATACGTCATGCGTACATATACGTCTGCGTCGTACATATACGTAGTGCTAAATTATACGGTTCCGCTGCCGTACACATGCGTCGTCGCGAATATATACGTCCGTGCCGTATATACATAGTGCGTAATACATACGTAGTAGTGACATATTACGTAGTGGCGTACACATTACTTCGTGCGTACATATACGTAGCTGGTACACATACGTCAGTGCGTACACATGCGTCTGTGCGTTATTATTACGTCGTGCGTATATACATCAGTGCGAATACATACGTTATGCGTACATATACGCTTAGTGCCCTTACACATACGTAGTGCGTACACATTACGTCGTGCGTACACATACGATAGTGCGTACACATACGTTGCATGCGTACAATATCGTCGGTGCTACACACTGCGTCGTGCGCATATATATACGCGTGCGTATACATACGTAGTGCGTACACATACGTCGTGCGTACACATACGTCGTGCGTATACATACGTCATGCGTATATACGTGTGAAGCACTCACCGACACACTCGCGGCTCGTAAATTCACGCACGGTCCCCGCGGGGCACTCGCACACGTAGTATCCGACGAGGCGTCGCCGGCACACCTCGCCGCGCGGACAGCTCGCTGGCGCCCCTGGGTCGCAGTCGTCGTGCGGCCCGAGGTCGACATCCTCATAGTCGTCGTCGTCGTCATCGGCGGTGACCGGCGAATCCCTCCCGCCGTATCTCCCCGTCGCAGATTGCTTGCCTGCAAGCAGGGAAGCTGCAGAGCTCAATGAAGACGCGGTGTTGCTACGGGAGTGCGTGTGCGCACCCTACGGTAGTTCGTGGCAATGAGTTAGCTAAGGTAACTAACCTTCTAACCCAACCCACCCTGCGGTAAATATCAATGAAGCCAGTAGTTGATTGACTGGCAGTCACAACAGAATGTTGTGTCAGGTCCCATATGAAACACTTCTGTGAGGCATTGAGTGACTGTGCATGACGTAGGTTAGTGACCTAATGGGGGTGTATTCTGTATCTGTCAAAACGTTGAATGCACAAAGATTTGCATTAGTTGCATCGACAACTATATCCTGTTCTTTACACATGTATTTACAATTGTTTTGGCACGCTGGCGTTGTGTTAAATATAACCAGGTATTTATAGCCCCATTTGGCTCAATAGTGAGTACTAAACCTAGATTCCAGGCTTAGTTTTGCTATTTGTGCGGAGAGGTAACATCAAGATCATAAGGCGGTAGCTTTTCGAATCGCAATTGGCAGAGCATCGTTTTCCACCTGACAGCGTCACCGTCATGGCGTTGACCTTTACTTAACCCAGCTCAAGCAAATTTCATTGCCCTCCCAAACAGTAAAACGGGTTCTATTTTTTAGGACAATAAACGTGTTACCATCAATGCTAAATGTGGACACAACACACATGCGCTTAACTCCCAGGACCTTCAAACACCAAAGCCCACTTTCCAGAACTTTCCCCAGACTTGGAAAACATCGTTTGAAAGATCCGGGCCCATCCGGGTCTTGCATACAAAGCTGCGGGGGTTCGTGTTATACGAGCCCAATCCTAGTTTAGCGCCCTGGATTAATTTAGCACATTTGCGAACCATATATGTCGGGGTCCCAAACTATGATTGAGCTACGTGTTCGCCATGTGTTACCGTACGATGCCAGGAGTTCGTATTGTCGTCACTCACCCACAGGACGAACGGCGAGCATCGCAGAGCGCTCAAACCTGTCGTCGTCGCGCGGCATCTGCTCGCACCCCGCATCCGACGCGCACGCGATCAGGTAGCAGTCTTCGTTGTATAGCAAGATGACGTTGCATGCAGGGAGCACGCAGCACGCGTCACGACATCGCGCGAGGTCCGACGCCCCGTTCAGCTTCGTGTAGTTACCCGCCGCCGAACCGTCGAGCGGCGTGACCCGCCACCTGGCGGCCGAGACGTCCACCTCGTTCTGGCACTCGTCGGCAGCGCCACCTGCGGGAGAAAAACGAATTATTTCGCTCGTTTTTGATTAATCGATGTGGTAGGTGAGGTAGCGGTCGAGCCAACTTTGGCGAGCAAACTTTCCCGTTTTTACTTATCGGATAACGAAAATGCTGGTGATGTGTTTACGCGATTTTAATTAGTTATTTCGGCTGCTGTCTTCCTGACATGTGGCTAAAACTGGAGGCAGCCAATAATATGTATATTTTAACCTCGGCAGGCTGAATCAAAAGACAGGTAAATCAAAAAACTGTAATTTGTCACCTTTGAACAACATTGATGCATGAGTTTATCACACCTGTATGCATTGTGCATGGGACAGGAGATGCCAACAATTACTTACATGGCAGGAGTGTCAAGGTGGCCACGATGAGAATGATTAGCAGGTGTCTTGTGTCTTGGAATGGCCAACACGTCAAGTAACGTTTCACTGCGTGTTCTACTCTAAACCCACTCATGGTTGACGTGCGTCTGACTATGCTCATACTGAATGGTGCCTTGGATTGATGTAAAAAAATTTTACATTGCCAAAAAATCCCTCAATTCATCCTGGAAAGATGAAATCAATAACATTATCATATATAATAAATAAAATTATACACACATTAAGTCACATCCATGATTCAGAATCTTGTTTGTGTGGCAGCCATTACAAAATGCTCTCACATATGCATTCCCATTGCCTGCCGAATTACTGCATTTCACATTGTTGATTCTACTATCCAGAACTTTACATACAGCACACTGTGTTTGTTCATACCACTAGCTGTAAAAGTAGAATTTGCTTGTCAATGGTGTTTGCTTTTTACTCAACGTATGCATTTCTGGCGTTACGAAGTGTCCACCATCTGGAACTGTTGTTGTATACAGGATGTGAAACTTATATTACGTTTACACGTTTGCAGGTCATCCTGTCATTCACTTCCTGACCACTGCCACAGCTCCACACTTCCTACGCACTCAAGCAACACTGTAATAATAGCACTTTGTGCCATACAGAACTTCTTAACTACGTGCACACAACATTTAACTCTTAGAAGAAAGATTTGAACCATTTCCCCTATATTTATAGCCGTCCAGTATTGGAAATTGTGTTACTGCTACGTAATATGGTTAATATACAACAATTCACTGGCGTATGGAATCGATGCGTTCCAGAAAATAGTATGTGCTGCAAAAATCTGCAATGCACGCCCAATTTTCTCAGCAACTTTCATTGTATAATTGGAGATAGGTTCCTGCATCCAAGGAAAAGAAGTTGGACAAGCAAAATTATGAATTCAACTGAGCATTTTCAAACAAATATGAATTATTAAATGATGTAACACGTACAGTATTACGATAATTGATAAACAAGTTTGTTGAATTTAATTCACCAGAAATGAAGTTGAATGTGAAATATGTGAATTAAGGGGGGGTACCGTATGGTAATGAACTACAAATACTACTAACTGAGAGTAGGAGGGTGAGGGAAGGGCACGATTCTCCTGATGACCCAAATAACAAAAGGACAAAAAATGTCTTAAATCTCTCATGAGTCCGATGATAATCTAACATAACAACAATTTTATACAATCTTGTTTGCCAACCCATCAGCAGATGTCTCACGATGCGATCATTCATGCACGTTTGGGTTCGAGGATAGCCACAAGTTCCCATCTCGCTTAACACTACGTGGCGAGAGTGTCCTCCGCCGTGTAACTAGTCGGAGAGCCTGGTCGGTTTGGGTTCGAGGATAGAGAACATGGGTCCCAATAAAACCAATGTCATTTACATCAATATAAATATAACATTATATCAATATAATAGGTTAGGGTTATGGTTAGGGTTATGGTTAGGGTTATTGTTAGGGTTAGGGTTAGGGTTAGGCACATTGCCATTGGTTTTATTGGGACCCATGTTCTCTATCCTTGGGCCTATGTTTGTTGCGAGAGTAAGTCTAGATGATCATTGATTACCCATTCAATCTAGCAACATCAATACTACGGTGCTACTGGCAATAGTTGCATCTTGTAAATTTATTGGACCCTGTTCATACACATACAATAGCTATCATGCTCGACTCCGTGCATACTATTCATACATGAATTATTTTGCGAGTGGCTTGCCACTGTGTGTGTCACTGTGTACAGTGCATGTATGTTTGTATTGTTGTGGGATTTTTTAGCTGCCACCAATTTTTGTGGTGTGGCTAGAATGGCTACCAAAGAACTATATCACAATATACTATGTATTCTAATAAGCCTATATCTAAAACAAAAAGTTGTGAATGCTTGGACAATATAATAAATAAAAAGAAAACAATATAATAAGCAAACATACCACATAACCTTACGACGGTTCAATCCTGCACTAACATGAAGATTGCACTTTCTACCATGACGTAATGTGACACTATGTGGTCACGTGGCATTTCCTTATTACAACCAATAGGAACTAGACGTTTTCGTCGATTGCGGACCTTACCCAACTAGGTGGCATAAAATTGATGTGTTGAATTTTGTCGGCTGGAAAAGTTAGCATAAGTTTTCGGTATTGAGGACAACGTCAACGTATGTCTACACGTGTAATGTGTTCCAATGATTCAGGTGTTATAAGGAGGTGAGACTGGTCACGGATTTTAGATACACTAATAACCGTAGTTGGCGTGAGACGTGTGTTGTCAAGTGTCAACAGCCGATGTCTTCCGTATCCGAACTGGAAGTGATGACTCATTTCTAGATTGCTGCCAACATGTCACATGCGACGTGTGCATGATTATGATATACGGTGCCCTCGGTATAAATAATACTGATAGACAGCCCGTTATTACTGACTCGTAGTCGTAGGTTAACGGGCTACGTACGTAATGTAAAGTAATAATTTGGTGACAAGGCATTGTGACAGTGACAGTAAAACAAGCAGTCGATTCACCTAATCCTAAATAATAATAATGACTGAGAGATTTACTGTACCCTTAGTTTTTGGGATCAACAGGCTTAAATAATTATAATTCTATGATAGACACCTTTTAGTTTTAAATCAGACAGCATAGTCCTAACTGTGAGACACCAATTTCCAAAAAAATATTCCATTGCACAAACTTACTTGTGACGGACGAACATTCATTCATTCCTGTTCTCTACCCTTTCAGTCGATCACTCTGCAGTGCTTGGACAAGTCGCCATTGACCTCAATTATAACGCATCATAGTCGATTTGCCACTACCATTTTTCAACAACAGCTGGAGCCTTACGAATCCACGAAATACGTAGCCTACGCCTGGTTGACTCAACACAAAACACGTCCCTGGCGAGGCTTTCCCCGGACGGTGATGCATGTAGCCCCGCGTCCGGCCGCATCTCTCCCGCGTCGGCAGCTTTCGCATACTTCACAGTGAGGCATGAAGCAGACGCAGCGCGCGAAGGAGATGTTCATCACGCGGGCGCTCGAAAAGATCCTCGCCGACAAGGAGATCCGCCGCTCCTACCACTCGCAGCTGAAGAAAGCCTGCGAGGTCGCCCTCGATGAGATCCGCACCGAGGTGGAGGCGCACGCCGCGGCGCCCCCTGGTGATGCGTCCGACACGCTGCCGCTTCCCAAGGACGAGACGACGACGTTTATCGAGGCGGATAAGTACTTCCTGCCGTTTGAGCTCGCGTGCACGTCGCGATGTCCGCGTATCGTCGTCACGGCGCTCGACTGCCTGCAGAAGCTGATCGCTTACGGCCACCTGGTGGGCAGCGCGCCGGACAGTCTCAACCCGGGACGGATGCTCATCGACCGCATCATCGCGACGATCTGCGGATGCTTCCAGGTAGCGCTGCGTGTCGCGCCTGCGATCGAGTGGTGGACATGTCGTCGATTGTTTACGATGACGAATTATCGACATAAGAATATTTTCTCGAATTGGTTGTTTAGCATTTGATAAGAAAATGATGAGAATTGGTCCAGATTGGACAATCAATCGTCGTTTTGCTCTGAAGTCTAAACGAGCAATGCCCTAACAAATTCAATATCGTTATCGCTTAACCCGCTCAAAGTTCAATCAAAGTTAACATAATCCAAACACCTGACTACCTTTTTTCACAAAATCCTCAGTAACCTTAAAAAAATATACACTCGGCAGTAAGTCAATCCAGCCTCGTCAGTCTTGTTTTATAACTGAACCGGACCTGATGTGACTTTGCTCTCGCTATGTTTCAGGGCACGCAGACGGACGAGGGAGTGCAGCTGCAGATCATCAAGGCCTTGCTGACGGCGGTGACGTCTAGCTCGTGTGAGGTCCACGAGGGCTCCGTGCTGCAGGCAGTGCGCACCTGCTACAACATCTACTTGGCTAGCCGCAACCTCATCAACCAGACGACGGCGAAGGCCACCCTCACGCAGATGCTCAACGTCATCTTCGCTCGCATGGAGAACCAGGCGCTCGCCGACGAAAAACCCCACGTCGACGAGTCGTCGGCGAACCAGCAGGGGGCGCCGGCAAACGGCGAGGCGGCGTCGACGGAGGAGATCGTGTCGTCGATCGTCGGCGAGTTGATCACCGCCGCCGTCGATTCGGCCGACGACGAGAACGGCCTTAAGGGGGCGCCGGCGATCGTGAACGGCGAGACTCCGAGTTCGGACTCTGGATCGCTGACCGTTCCAGCGTCCGGCGGTGGGAAGGCGGGGACGCCGGACGCCGTGTCGCAGTATGGGTCGGAGTATGCGGAGGACGGGGCGTCGATGGACGGCAGCGAGCTTCACGAACAGATCCACGCAAAGTTCTCGCACGTTCTTCAGAAGGACGCGTTTCTCGTGTTCCGCTCGCTGTGCAAGCTCAGCATGAAGCAGCTGCCGGAGGGACCGGCAGACCCGCGCTCGCACGAACTTCGCTCGAAGATACTCTCGCTGCAGCTGCTGCTGTCGATCCTTCAGAACGCCGGGCCGGTGTTCCGCACGAACGAGATGTTCGTGAACGCCATCAAGCAGTACCTGTGCGTCGCGCTGTCGAAGAACGGCGTCTCGCCCGTGCCGGACGTGTTCGAACTCTCGCTCGCGATCTTCGTCACGCTCCTCTCCAACTTCAAGACACACCTGAAGATGCAGATCGAGGTCTTCTTCAAGGAGATCTTCCTGAACATCCTGGAAACATCCAGCAGCTCCTTCGAACACAAGTGGATGGTGATCCAGGCGCTCACGCGCATCTGCGCCGACGCGCAGAGCGTCGTCGACATCTACATTAACTACGACTGCGATCTCGCGCTTGCGAACATCTTCGAGCGGCTCGTCAACGACCTGTCGAAGATCGCTCAGGGCGTGGAGCTGGCTGCGTCGTCGCACCAGGAGAAGAGCATGAGGGTACGCGGCCTCGACTGCCTCGTCTCCATCCTCAAGTGCATGGTCGAGTGGTCACGGGACCTCTACGTGAACCCGAGCCCGCAGACGAACCTCACGTCACCCGCGGAGCCGGACGGCGGGGGACGCGGTGGCGGCGGCGGCGGCGGCGGCGGCGGCGGGGGGACGTCGCCGCACGGCAGCAGCAGTTCTCTCGCCAACTCGCGGCACTCGTCGAACACGCGTCTCGACAATCCGGAGCAGTTCGAGAGCATCAAGCAGCAGAAGGGTATCCTCGAGGAGGGCATCGACCTCTTCAACCGCAAGCCGAAGAACGGCCTCTCCTTCCTGCGCCAGCAGGGCGTCGTAGGAGCCTCCCCCGGTGACGTCGCAGCCTTCTTCCACAGCGAGGACCGCCTCGATAAGACGATGATCGGCGATTACATGGGCGACAACGACATGCGCCACAAGGAGGTGATGTACGCGTACATCGACCAGATGGACTTCTCCGGCACGGACTTTGTCTCGGCGCTGCGCACGTTCCTCGAGGGGTTCCGGCTTCCCGGCGAGGCGCAGAAGATCGATCGGCTCATGGAGAAGTTTGCGGCGCGCTACTGCGAGTGCAACACGAGCGCGGGCGTGTTTGCGTCGGCCGACACAGCCTACGTGCTCGCGTACTCCATCATAATCCTCGCGACGGACCTGCACAGCCCGTCGGTGAAGCACAGGATGACGAAGGAGCAGTACGTGCGCATGAACCGTGGCATCAACGACAGCCGCGACCTCCCCGAGCCCTACCTCTCGCAGATCTACGACGAGATCGCCGACGCCGAGCTCGCCATCAAGCCCGTGTCGACGAAGACGCTGCGCAAGGGAGCGAGCGTCGCCGCGGCGACCGACAAGCAGCGGCGACTCATCTACAACATGGAGCTGGAGCAGATGGCGTACACGGCGAAGGCGCTCATGGAGAGCGTGAGTCACGTCGAGGCGGCCTTCACGTCGGCGACACAGCTCGACCACGTGCGCCCGATGTTCCGCGTCGCGTGGACGTCGTTCCTCGCCGCGTTCTCCGTCGGTCTGCAGGACTGCGACGATCCGTCGATCGCGGCGCTCTGCCTCGACGGTCTCCGCTGCGCGATCCGCATCTCGTGCATCTTCCGGCTGCAGCTGGAGCGGGACGCGTACGTGCAGGCGCTCTCACGCTTCACGCTGCTCACCGCAAACTCGCAGATCACCGAGATGAAAGCAAAGAACATCGACACGATAAAGACGCTGATCGCAGTCGCGCAGACCGACGGAAACTACCTCGGCAAGTCGTGGCTCGAAATCCTCAAATGCATCTCGCAGTTGGAGCTAGCGCAACTCATCGGGACAGGCGTGCGCACCCGTTTCATCTCCGGCAGCGGCAGCGGCGCGCGTCCGCACCACCAGCACCACCACGAGGAGAGTCTCAACGTTCCCGTGCCGCGCATGGATCAGAAGCGCATGGCGAGCCTGCAGGAGTCGATGGGAGAGACGTCGTCGCAGAGCGTCGTCGTTGCCGTCGACCGCATCTTCACGGGATCAACGCGCCTCGACGGTGACGCCATCGTCGACTTCGTCACGGCTCTCTGCCACGTGTCGGAGGAGGAGCTCTCGTCGGCCGCGCACCCACGCATGTTCAGCCTTCAGAAGATCGTCGAGATCTCCTACTACAACATGGGCCGCATCCGACTACAGTGGTCGCGCATCTGGAAGATCCTCGGCGATCACTTCAACAAGGTCGGCTGCAACGCGAACGAAGACGTCGCGTTCTTCGCCGTCGACTCGCTGCGCCAGCTCTCCATGAAGTTCATCGAGAAGGGCGAGTTCGCAAACTTCCGCTTCCAGAAGGACTTCCTGCGTCCGTTCGAACACATCATGAAGAGGAATCGTTCGCCGACAATACGCGACATGGTCGTTCGTTGCGTCGCGCAGATGGTCAATTCCCAGGTAGGTGTACATTGGCTGTGTGTGCCGGGCCATCGAGTAAACACCTGTGTTCACGATCACCAGGAGCGGGTTAGCTACCATCGCGTAAACGCCCACCTGTAGGTAGCTGGTAACAGCCACCAGGTGTAGAATACCCGCATTTCCATTAAGGCCAATTTTAGGTCAATAGATCAGTAGTGAATTTAGAAAATGTATAACAGTCGTGTCATTATGAATTGCAGATGAAATACAATTATAACTCCTTGCAGGCTCACAACATCAAGTCCGGTTGGAAGAACATCTTCAGCGCGTTCCACCTCGCCGCGTCCGACCGCGACGAGAGCATCGTAGAACTCGCCTTCCAGACAATGGGTCTCATCGTCTCCTCCGTCTTCGAGGCGTACTTCCCGGCGATGATCGACTCGTTCCAGGACGCCGTCAAGTGCCTGTCGGAGTTTGCGTGCAACGCCGCATTCCCGGACACGAGCATGGAAGCTATCCGGCTGATTCGCAGCTGCGCGCGCTACGTCGCCGACCGGCCCGCAGTCTTCGCGGACCACGCCGGCGACGACGTCAGCGTCCCCGCCGACGACCGCGTCTGGGTGAAGGGCTGGTTCCCGGTCCTCTTCGAGCTTTCGTGCGTCATCAACCGCTGCAAGCTGGACGTGCGAACGCGCGGCCTCACGGTGATGTTCGAGATCATGAAGACGCACGGCGATGCGTTCCGCGAGCGCTGGTGGCGCGACATCTTCCGCGTTCTCTTCCGCATCTTCGACAACATGAAGCTGCCGGAGCAGCGGAGCGAGAAGGCGGAGTGGATGACGACGACGTGTAACCACGCGCTGTACGCGATCGTCGACGTCTTCGCTCAGTATTTCGGCGTTCTGCACGACGTTCTCCTCGACGACCTCTACACGCAGCTGCACTGGTGCGTGCGGCAGGAGAACGAACAGCTCGCGCGTTCCGGAACGAACTGCCTCGAGAACCTCGTGATCTCGTCCGGAGCGTTGTTCAGCGTCGCGACGTGGGACAAGACGTGCGACCTCATGCTCGACATCTTCCGCACGACGCTGCCGACGGGACTCCTCGAGTGGCGCGCCGACGAAGACGCGGCGCCCTCTGGCGGTACACGCGCCCGCGAAGACCACCAGTTGTTCTCCTCGCTAGCCATCAAGTGCGTTGTTCAGTTGGAGCTGATACAGACGATCGATAACGTCGTGTTCTACCCGGCGACGAGCCGCAAGGAGGACGCGGACAACCTCGCCGCGGCGCAGGGTGGAGGAGGAGGAGGAGCCGGGGGGAGTCCGCGCGAGGGAGGAGGAGGGTGGCAGCAGGAGGAGCAGGGCATGTACTCGTACCTGACGTCGGAGCAGCTGCTGAGACTGCTGGACTGCTTGCTGGAGTCGCACGAGTTTGCGAAGGCGTTCAACGCGAACCACGAGCAACGCAACATGCTGTGGAAGGCTGGCTTCAAGGGAAAGGTGAGTGTGACAGGGTGGGTGGTGGCGGGGGAGGGGACACAGAGGGAAGGTACGTAGTGTGGGTTTGAGGAGGCGGGGGGAGTGGACATGGGAGGCAGTAGACGCAGGTTCTCATGGATGGTCCTGTCAGTTGAGTTTTAGTTCGTTAGTTGGTTTATATTAATCACTTTGCTGTTACTTGTGGCAGCTTCAGTTCATGCTTTTGATGATACATTCTTATTAGCTTTGTCAAATTGCTGATATAATTGTCTCTGTTAGTCTCGTGGAGAATTTCGTAGCCACGCCAACATTTATGAGAAACTATTTAAATATTTCATGTAGTCTTTCGACACGGTGTGTGATCACCGCAGTCGCAGCATCTACCTGACCTCTACTGCTTTTTCTCGCCTCTTTGCAGATTTAGCACTGCCTTCAATATATTATTTAGGCATATAAGAAACTATTTAAATATTTCATGTAGTTTTCCGACGCGGGAGTCTTTTATATTTGTATATATCGATTATGAGAAACCTTTAATATTTCATTTAGTCATGACGCGACGGTCGTAGCATCCCATACATCTCTGTATTTCTCGCCACTTCGCAGATCTAGCACTGCAGTCCATATAAATCGGAAACTATCGTGATATTTTGTGTAATTTTCGACGCGCTAGTCGTAGCAGCATCTCACGGTTTCTTCTCGCGTCTCTTCGCAGATGAAGCCCAACCTGCTGAAGCAGGAGACGACGAGTCTCGCGTGCGCGCTGCGCGTGCTGCTGCGCATGTACGGCGACGACGCCCGCACCGCATCCTGGCCCGTCGTGCAGTCCCGCCTCGTCACCGCATCCCGCGACGCGCTCGCGTACTTCCTCACTCTGTCGTCGGAAAGCCATCGCGATGCGTGGAGCTCGCTGCTGCTGCTCGTGCTCACGCGCACGCTCAAGATGACGGAGGAGAGATTCCGCACGCACGCGGCCGCGTACTACCCGCAGCTGTGCGACATGGTCGTGCTGGAGCTGAAGCCGGAGCTACGCGGAATCCTGCGCAGATTCTTCGTCCGCGTCGGGCCGGCGTTCGGAGTCGTCAAGCCGTCGTCCTAATGTGTGTGTGCGTGCGGGCGTGCGTGCGTGCGTGCGTGTGTGTATGGGTGCGTCTGTGCATGTAGGCATTTGGGTACGTGCGTTGGTGTGTGTGTGTGTGTGTGGGTGTGTACATGCGTGCGTGCATGCATGTGTGCGGGGGCGTGTGTGTGCATGTGTGTGCATGTGTGTGCAGGGGCGTGTGAGCGGGGTTGGGCTAGCTACAAGTTGGAGGTACACATGCCGTGTGTTGTGAGTGGGCACTGCTGTTCTATTGTAGGTTATATGTGCACAGAGATGTTTTTTCTAGTTACGCGTGGCGATGGGAGCGAAGAAATCCCCTGGTTACACGTGATAGTGGGAGAGAAATTCCCTAGTTGTGCGTTGCAATGGGAAAGAAAATTTTCCGTAGTTACACGTGGCAATGGGAAAAAGAAATTTCCCTAGCTACACGTGGCAATGGGAGATAAATTCACTAGCTATGCGCGGCTACTGGGAGAAATTCCCCTGTTATGCGTCTCAGTGTATTGGGCATTCCATATTATACTCCATCAAGCAGACATTTCCTGGCTGCGTGCAATGACACTCGGTTACACCTGCACTTAGACAATGCATGTTGAAAGTACTTTAATGTGCAACTTGTTGAAAGTACAACTTGTTGAAAGTACAACTTGTTGAAAGTACAACGTGTTGAAAGTATAACATATTGAAAGTAATTTAACGTCTAATGTAGAAAGTGAAGACTCAGTGCGCAAGGGAAAAGCTATTTTACGTGTACGTGTAAAGTTCTACTTTAGTTACTTTACGTACTTTACTGCACATGGAGTTCGTACGTTCGTACGATTTATTACTGGTAGGTTTAGGTTATTTCTGCTCGTTTCTCTTCTTTTCAGCACTCCAGTGGGCGCTGTGAAAGCATTAGAATTTAGATACCCTCTAAGACTAAATACTAATTATGACTAGAAAAACAACCATAGAAAAATAGACTGTCTCACTTGAGCAAGCATAACGTGGGGTTTGACTTTTTAAATATATATATACGTATGTGTGTATATATATAGGCTTGCTGGATTAAATGAAGTTCACAGTGCTCAGCCTGTAACGACGACTATAGCTGAATTGTTTGAAAGTTGGAAACTATATATTGAACATATATATATATATATATGTGTGTGTGTGTGTGTGTGTTGTATGTATGTATAATATATATATATATATATAATATATATATATTATTAGTTTATACCCTGCAGATTTCTGCTCTGCGTGGGAGAGCTTAGGTAATAGGCAGCGCACTCTCATCTACATCACTCTGTGCGACGTCGTGCGTGCGGCTGCGTGCGTGCGTGCGTGCGTGCGCTGGCGTGCGTGCGTGTTTGTTTGTGTGGCGCGTGTGTGTGTGTGTGTGTGCGCGCGGCGTGTGTGAGTGTGTTTTGGTTGTTTGTGGTGCGCGCGTGCGTGTGTGCGTGTGTGTGTGTGTGGTGTGTGTTTCGTCAGCGCGGTCCCTGATGCTGAGGCGCGGTGAAGCCACGTCTGATGATGCGGAGTAGAATGATTAGGGAGGGGAGGGGTGCTACGAATGCTCTCCGCGGCCAACAAATCTGCCTCGGCACACATTACGTGAATGGGGGGCCAGTGCAAAATATTGCGATGTACATAATATGGTGTGTAGCAGATGGGAGTGTGATGTATGCGGAATGAAGCCTCCACAGTTCGCAGTGCAGTGGTGAAGCTGTTGTTGAGAACGTCACTGCGAAGTTTGTGTGTTTGTTTGTTTGTTTGTTGATTTGCTTTACGGTAACTGCAAGTGGAAGTTTCTGGTTGTGATGTGATTAACTCTTGATTTTATTTCTTCTCGTGAATTGTATTTAAATTAATAAATGTAGACTGCTACTTTTTATCGACGGTCTAGGAGAATGATATCGCTGCCGGGTGTATAAATTTGTGAGATGTGTAAGGTATGTAGTTCACTGCTTAAACTAACCACTTTCTGGTAAACGATCAATGTAGGATGTGTATAGCGGTGTGTGTGTAGACACGTTCTACTGTGGAGTTTGCACGTAACTGGATAATAAGTATGTAGGCAGAACGGGCCGTCTGTGAATTACAATGGGTTGTGGCGTGCGTGCGTTCGTGCGTGCGTGCGTGTGCGTACGTGTGCGTGTGTGTCTGTGTAGGTAAATAAGGGCGTAGATCTATGTGATTGTGCGCGTGCGTACGTGCGTGTGCGTGTGTGTCTGTGTAGGTAAATAAGGGCGTAAGTGTATGTCGTGTGGCGAACATGCGTACATGAACGTACGTGGCGTTTGTATGGGTGCGTGTGTGTACCTGTGTGTCTGTGTAGTACATTAATGGCGTAGATGTACGTGTGTTTGTATGCGCGTGTGTGTTCGGGGAAGGGGGATCCTACCAGGCGATCGGCTTCGTGGCCTGTGGAAAAAATTATGCGGTGGCCGCGTCACACCGCGTCGCCATGGAAACAGCGTCCTCTGAGCTATTGTCGTTTACGCTCAAGCAATCGAACCAGCGTAATCATCGTCTGCACAACTCGGATATTCGATAATTCTCGTTCGGAGTGCAGATGTTGACGGAGATGTTTATTTATGTGTTCTCCCCGCTCTCAATCGTTGGTTGCCCCGATGTCGCCTGGTTGAATATTTTTAAGCGACGAAATCCGCGGTCGTGGCTTGTAGAGGTCGAATCCGAGAGTCGCATAGGAGGTCTGAATAGTCTGACCAGGGGTAAATCAATGACAAATTCTGCGCATTATTGGAACCAAATTTATGATTAGTTTTGAAAAATTTGTCAGTTTCACTCGCCTATATTTGCATAGCTGCTGCGCGCCGTGAGTGGTGTAGTCATGAAAATACGTGAACCTTACCTGCGTGCGTTATAACTGATGGCGTTCGGTTAACGCGTCTGTTAGTATCGGCTTGCTCATCCCAAACCGCAATCAATCGATGCTAGGTCGATCGATTATCAATGCGATGGTCAATCACAGAATTGGAACAAAACGTGTGGTTGAGTAAATATGAGGGCGCGACCATAAATGGCTCAACTCAATAACGACGTATTTCGATGTGATGTTGCTATCGAATATTATAGCGGGCACCCTTCGTTTACATCATATGCCTTTTAGCAATAACCAGCAATAAGCATAATATATCTTAAGAGAGATCAGGAGAGGCAAGCATATGAGATGATGTTCTTTGATAATTATTAATTGCTGGTGCATGATATAAATACAGTAGTATAGCAATCATATATATAGAATATCCTATATACCGCACGCGTCACTCGTAAATATTCTAAGTCCTAAAATTTAAACTAAACCCACTAGGTCGAATCACGACACGACAACGTCTTTGAACAAGGTAGCGCACTTACACAGTTCACGAGGAACCCCCTCAAACAAATGCGAGATGGATTCACGAACAAATTTAATGTTAGCAGCAACACTACTAATCTCTAATATCGACATCTGAGATTAAGTATGCGCGAGCAATATCATAGCACGTAACATAGTGAGATAGACTAGCGCACTAGCTGCATTAATAGCAAGGTACCTTCCTGTATCGTATCGGATTTCGCACGTAAGGCTGTTAGTTGAATGAAAGCAAAGGGTTGAGTCGATGCTCTTACCCGAGTTCCGAGGTGCTATTGAAGGCCGGCAAGAGCGCACGCCAATTCATGCGTGGCACGGCGCTTACATGGAACGACGGTGTCGATTGCCGCGCGTCTAAAAGTCGCATAGCGAAACCTGCCAGCGAGAGAGATAGCAGAGCATGCATGTATGTACAGCCACACAGAGGATTCCGAAGTCGTCGCTATGTCAGCACGAAACGTCCTCTTTGCCCTCGTCTGAAGAAATGACACGTAATGTGAGTTATGGTTCATGCAATGGTTCAGTAGGATCACTATGGCAAATATAATTAGGTTAGGGGAGTATATTATTAAAATGATTTTCCCAACATAATAATAATATATTGCCATATGTATCAAAGGGTAAATATTGATCAAATTGAACAAACTTTGTAAGATGTTACGCCTGATTGTATTATTTGTATGAGATAGTCTCTCACATCGTAACATCCTTCATTGCATGCGGTTCCGTAGAAACAGTTACAGTGCTAACCGGGGATCCGCTCTGGTGTCGCATGGAAAAGTATGAGTGCTAACGATTATCCGTGCTGCTACCACGTTTTCGAGACGAGGAACACCACAACACAGCGCGACACACACAGGCGAACACACACCGCACACACCACCACACAGTCAGCACACACAGCACACACACACAAACCAACACAACACGACACACAACACAACATAGCGACATCACACACACACACACCGAGCAAGCAGCAGCGACAGGCGACACCGAGCACAAGACACACCACACATCACACACCACACAGTCACACACACAACACCACAGTGGCAGCCACACACAACACACTACATACAGCGCGGCATCAGGTCGTCGCGAGTCGTTGGCGGTCGTAGCGCTACTGGATGCAAGCATACAGGAAATGCTGTTAGATATTAGGCTGATAATATCAAGAGCGTATAAAGAAGGTTTCTTTATACGCTCTTGATAATATAGATAAATAAGGGGACAGATTTAGGGCTAGGGCTGCACTGGGTGGCCACCCAACCCCTCTAACACAATATACTACCGACTATATTACTACCACTACTAATTACATTAATATAATAATGAAACATACGCACGATTACAAAAGCGGTACAAACGATCGTACCGGGTTATAAGTAAGAATCTTAATACATATCAACACACATTTATGAGTATATAAACACACAAGCGTATGTAACGGTACATATACACAAATAACTGTGAAGGGCAGCGGACGGTTGTCACGCCTCGCCTCGCTCATGTCCTCTCAACTCTCCTCTCTCTCTCTCTCTTCTCTCTCTCTCTCTCTCCTCTCTCTCTCTCTCTCTCTCTCTCTCTTCCGCTCTCTTTCTTTCTCGTCCTCTCTCTCTTTTCTCTCTCTCATCACTCTCGTCGCTCTCTGTTCTCTCTCTCACTCTTCCGCTCCACTTCTCTCGCTCTCTACTTCTCGTCTCGCGCTTCTCTCCTCTTCTCTCCTTTCTCTCTCCTCTCTCTGCTCGCTCTCTTTCTTTCTCTGCATCTCCTCTCTCTCCTTCTCTCTGCTCCTCTCTCGGCTCTCGCGCTCTCCTCCTCTATCTCTCTCTCTTCTGCTCTCTCGCTCGTCTCGCTCCTCTACCTATCTCTCTTCTCTTCTCTCTCTCTTCTCTCTCTTCCTCTCATCTCTCTCTCTCTGCTCTCTCTCTCTTTTCCCCCCCTTTCTCTCTCTCTCTTCTCTCTTCTCGTCTCGTCCTCTCTTTCTTCTCTCACCCTCTCCCCTCCTCTTCTGCTCTTCTCCTCCTCTCTCTCTCTCTCGTCTCTCTTTTCCTCTCCCCCCCTCTCTCTCTCTCTCTCTCTCTCCCCTCCCTCGCTCTCTTCTCTCTCTCTGCGTCTCTCTCCCTACGGGTTCTCTAGCTCCCCCCCCCTTCTCTGCTCTCTCTCTCTCTCTCTTCTCTCTCCTCTCTCTCTCCCCCCCCCTTCTCTCTCTCTCTTCTCTCTCTCTCTCTCTCTCCTCCTCCTTCTGTCGTCCCCCCTGCTTCTCTCTCTCTTCATGTCGTCGCTCTTCTCTTCTCTCTCTTCTCTCTCCTCTCTTTCGCTGCACTTTCTCTCCTTCTCTCTCCGCTCTCTCTCAACACTTTCTCTCTCTCTCTCTCTCTCTCTCCTCATCTCCTATCTCTCCTCTCGTCCCCCCCCCCTCTCTCTCTCTCACACTTTCTCTCTCTCCCTTTTTTTTCTCTCTCCCTCTGCTCTCTTCCCTCTTCTCTCTTTCTCTCTCTCTTGCTCTCTCTCTCTCTCTCTCTTCTCTCTCTCCTCCTACTCGTTCGCCCTCGTCCTCTCTCCTGCTCGGCCAGCCGACAAAACGCATACTATGGTAACGCTATGGAAACAGCAAACGCAGTCGGTCACGGCGGTTCCTTTTGTTGGCTATATTCTGCAGCGTCGACGGCAGGATAAGCACGGGTGCCTGTTTACACCTAATATCGATGCAACCTTTAAATTGATTACCCATTTCAGCGTGTAAAACTGGGTTTTAAGTAGGCAGATGCGTGCTTGTGCGGGCAGCGAGTTCGGGTTGAGGCTGGCGCGGAGATGCACAGATGCTGTTCGAGACGATGATAGTGGATGTGAGAGTTCGTCCACGGGATCATCGAACGTAAGTAAGAAATGATGCCGTAAATCTTTTTGCGATT